GGCCTAGACCGAAATTTCTGAAGAAGGGTCTAGGCCCGAAACGTCAGCTTTCCTGCTTCTATGATGCTGCTTGGCCTGCTGTGTTCATCCAGCTCTACACCTTGTTATCTCAGATTCTCCAGCATCTGCAGTTCCTACTATCTCTGATAATATTTTCTTACAACTGGTCATCATGTGTATACAGCTGAAATAGTGGTTCATAACCTTTTGAAACAGCCAAGCATTCATCACAGGCTCAGGTAGAATAAAAATCCCTGCGAATAATGAACAATGGAGTCTATTGCAACTGGAAAAAACACAGATGACTGTTTCTTTCTGAATTACACCAGATGTCCCACCAGTCACTTCAGCCTAGGAATCTCTAAAGCAGATAAGTACTACAGTGCAGAAGAAGGCTGTTGGGCCCTTCATGTCTGCACCAGCTCTTAAAATGAGCACCATTTACATCTGCTTTTTCCTCATATTCTTGCACATTATTTTTAGACACAATTGTGCAGTGCCTTTTTAAGTGTCTCAATTGAACATGTTTCCACCAGGCTTCAAGGCAGTACAGCTACTTTTGCAAATCATTTTAAATCTGTGCCCTCTCATTCTTGTTTCTTTTATGAGTGGGAACACTTTCTCCCTGTCCACTCTACTTAGCCTGCTTCTGATTTTGAAAACCTCTGTCAGATCTAAAGAGAACAGTCTCGCCTCTTCAATCTATTCTCAAGGAAGTGAAGTAAAGTAGGACTTTTTTGTCTCTATAAATGAAAGCTGCAGGTTTTGTGCCCCCTCACTGAAAGGCATGTTAAACCCAGCCCACAGCTTTTGGTTGTCACATACACATGTGAGAAATCTCATACATACCTCTATGGAAGAAACGTCTTGGTGAAGAATAATCATTGTCCACTGGAACACTTCTACGAGAAAAATAATCAGAGTTCCTGCAGGACTCCAGAGGTTATTCTTGAGGCTTGAGAGTTATCACTTCACTCTGAAATACAAGTCAGGAAGAGAAATAGTGATTAGCAGATGTCCTATCTCTGTTGCCACCACAGGAGAAGCATGAAATAAAAGATCTAAGTATAAAAATCTATCACCTAATGAACATAGTAACAATGAAACTGAGTCAATTTAGTGATCAACGAAGATGAAATGTTCTGGAAGATCTCTCAGCAAGTGATTCAGGGATAGCTGTTTAGATGAAACAAACACAGGCAGTAATACTGCTGCATTGGTCGATCAGTGTTGATGTCTCATTAGAAATTGACATTCTGCCAGCCAAATCCACCTAAAATGATTCAGAAAGAGCTTCTATAAAAGATATGTGATGATCACATGTGAAAGGAGAAGTGTAAGCTTGGAGCCAGATCAGTTGTGTACTGAGTGGGCACCTATGAAGACATTGAATGAATGAGACAACACCATGCGGAGCTGGAGGAAGACAGCAGACCAGGCAGCATCAGAGGAGCAGGAAAGTTGATGTTTCGCGTTGGGACCCTTCAGAAATGGGGAGAGGGAAGGGAACTGGGAAATAAACAGAGAGAGGGGTGGGGCTGGGCAAGGTAGGTGGGATGGTGATAGGTGAATGCAGGTGTGGATTAGTGGGGGTTGGTCAGTGGGATAGATGGGGCAGATAAATGGGAAAGAAGATGGACAGGTTGTATCAGGTCAAGGAGGTGGGGATGAGAGGGAGGGTTGGATATGGGATGAGGCTGGAGGTGGGGAGATTTTAAAACTGGTGAATTTCATGTTTAGGCCATCAGGCTGTTGGCTCCCGAGGTGGAATGTGAGGTGCTCCTCATGCAGTTTGTGGGTGGTGTCATTGTGGCACTGGAGGAGGCCCAGGATGGACATGTCACCCAGGGAGTGGAAGGGGTAGTTAAAATGGTTGGCGACCAGAAGGTATTGTTGTTTGTTGTGTACAGAGCGCAAATGCCCTATGAAATGGTCTCTGAGTGTACGCCTGGTCTCACTGATGTGGAGGAGGCCACATCGGGAGCAACAGATACAGTGGACCAAGTTGGCAGATGCACAGGTGAACCCCTGTCAGATATGAAAGGTTTGCTTTGGGCCTTGAATGGAGGTGTAGGGACAGGTGTAGCAGTTGCAGGGAAAGGTGCTGGGTGTGGTGGGGTTAGTGGGAAGTGTGGAGCAGACAAGGGACTCGCGGAGTGAGCGATCCCTACGAAAGGCAGATAAGAGTGGGAAAGGAAATGTCTCTATGGTTGCGGGGTTGGACTGCAGGTGGCAGAAGTGGCGGAGAATGATATGCTGCATGTGGGGGTTGGTGGGGTGATATGTGAGCACAGCGGGGATTCTGTTTCTATTTTTGTTGGGGGGAGGGACTTTAAGGGCAGAAGTGCGGGCAATGCAAGAGATGCAGCGATGACTGTCTGCAATATACACCTGAAGTATAGAAATTCACAGCAGAACGAGGAGATGGTAGCTGCTGAAATTCTCCCAGACCATTGATTACCATAGGAGCCAATTTATTCAAACACAATTAAGACTGGTATTCTCATAATTCTAGAGTGTAATTCAAAGATTCTTTTTATTTTTAAAGGTGAAAAATTTGATTGTTAAAACAGTCATCTCAACTTGGTTCAATTCATTGAGCAAAGGATACCTGAAAAAAAATTCTCTGACTATGGAACCTAGTTGATTTCCAGAGAATTTAAGAAGGCTGCTGAACATTATGAATTCAACATCATCACTTCATCATCACATTACCCAAGGAGACACAGATTTATAGTGTGATAATCTCAACATTCTGTATCCCATGTGCTGTGAAATCTGATACCTGTGGAGATTGTAAATATTCAGGCACAGGATATCAGGAAGTTCCATTGGTCATTGCATTTGATTCTGCCCAGTAATAAAAGTGGAATGCTCTGGAAGTATCGTAATGTGTCACTCAAACAATTACAGGATAATTGAACAGTTCCAGAGACCGTTATTTTAGTAAGTTGGGGAACTCAACTGCAGACAACTAAAGTTCAGTACAGCTAGGACGTGGGAGTTTGGAGAAACCCAAGAGGATGTTTGACCCTAATTAGTCTGATAACCTATGTTAATTCTGAATGTTATTGTATATTGTATACATACACAAGTTACATGCCACTTGAGCCTGTTGCACCATTCGATAAATCATGACTGATTGGATTACTCCGCATTCCTGCCTACTCCAATTAACCTTTCACCCCTTGTTTATCAAGAACTTATCAATCTGTGCTTCAAAAAAATTCAGAAATTCCGTATCCACTGCCTTTTGAGGAAGACAGTTCCAAAGACTCCTAACTGTCTGTGAGGGGAAAAAAAGCTCATCCCTACCTTAAATGGGCACCCTTTATTTTAAATGGTGACTACAAATTCTATATTCTCTTACAAGAGAAAATATGTTTTTCACAGCGACCCTACCAAGACTCATCAGGATGTTATTATGTTTAATCAAATCATCTTTCACTCGTCCAAACTTTAACAGACACAAGCCTAGCCTGTCAAACCTTTCCTCATGAGACAACCCACCGATTCCAAGCAGTAGTCTCATAAAACCTTCCCTGACTTTCTTCCAAAGCATTTTCATCCTTTTTAAATAAGGCACCAATCTGTATACAATACTCCAATGCGGTCACACTAGTGCCCTATATAACTAAAGTATAACCTTACTACTTTTGTGATCAAATCCTCTTCCAATAAATGATAACATTCCACTAGCTTCCCTAATTACTTGTTACATCTCCAAATTAACTTTTATAATTCATGCACAAGGACGCTCCGATCCCTCTGGATCTCACAGCTTTGTAAGATAATTTTTTAATTTTCTTATCAGCAATGCCCTTGTCCCAGAAGTGAATAAATAAGAGAGAAAGGCTGATGCGTGGAAGTAGGTACTAAGTAGGAATAGGAGTAGGAGGTGCTAAAGGATGAGTAGAGAGGCATAGGAGATGTGAGGAGCTATGGGATATGGATAGAGAGCATTAGGTTGCATAGGTTCACATGGGTGGGGGGGGGAACATGGGAAGTGTGGAGTGAAGGAGCTGTAAGAATGAAGGTTGCGCAAATGTTTTGTATTTCTCCTTTTTGGAGAGCTAAGGCACTTCTTTGGATCTCGTCCATGCTCAACTTTGATGTTGGCATGGCTCCCTTTTGGAGAGGTAATTCATCCTTTCTTGGAGGTAATGCACCCTTTGATGTTGTGAAAAGACACGCATGTGCTAAAAACACATTAACTCTTTGAGACTGTCAAAGCCACCAAGGAGTTATCCAAAAAAATGTGTGAAACTAAAAACATTAGTGCTGGGTATTTCAGAGTGCTAATTCAAACCACTATTGTTGGATTTCTGCTGCATGACTGATTTACCATAATATCATTTTCACAATGAAGTGTCTAGCAAATGAACATTTTGATGGACAGCTCCAGCTTCTTATTGAATGGAAATAGTTGTTTACATAAGGGATTAAGAATTTAAGTAAAATGTCTGTTTTCATAAGGATTAGTTGAAAGAATTTAGATATATTGAACTTTTTTTGTTAACATTGAATATTTTTTCCCAGTAGTGACATCAGCAGACATTATCAGCCTTCCTTCTGAGGTTTGCACATGGTGGATACTAGGTGAGTTGGCTTGAAGAAGAAGGGCAAACGGCGGAAGATAGGGGGTGTGAGTTGCCATAAATTGGCATTGAGGCTATAAAGGGCCATGTGATGGATGGATGAGCATAGATTGGCAGAGGGATAATGGGGGCTATGGATGGCTTCAATGGGGTGAGTGTAAAAGGGAGGGATGTTTTATGTTTCAGTATTTGCTTTGAAACTTGTACCACTCATGCTAGTACCCTGCCTCAGGCAGGCTTTTGCTCAGTTCACCTCAGGAACCAGCAACTCTTTGCACGTTGCTTGGCCCAACTTGCTGATACAAACACAATGGGTTGAAAGGCCTCCTTCTGTACTGTAATTTTTACGATTCTATGAACTTCGGTTCCAGAACAATCTTCTGTTACATTGCCAGACTGGAAGTTGGCAATAAGAGAGGTAATTTTTAAAAGTTGAATTCGCCAAGCAGGACTTATCCTATCTGTGCACTTGACCTGATCAACTGGGGCTTATTCATCCATCAGTCTAACAGCCATATGGAGTGCAGTAAAAATCCAGAGCAAAGTTTCGGTAGAATTTTGAACGAATAGTGATCTGGCGCTACATCCTCTGAACCTTTTCCTGTTCTACCTGCTTTAAAATACAAGGAGACCTAATAATTAAACTGTAAAGTTTTGACTCTAGCTGAAAGTATAAAGGCCCAGAAAGTATGAGTTAGGGCTTCCATTACTGACAGAACCAAATCTAGTTCTCAATTTTGCCTGCCCTGCAAGTGTGTGTGTATTGTTAGAAGCACATACTGAGTATGTACTGAGTCAGGCCAAGTGATGTGTGAAGAGTGTAAAAGGCTGCCAGTACCTGAGGTGAACTGAGCAGAAGCCTGCCTCAGGATATCAGCACAGTGTAGAAGTTTAAAAGCAAGAATTAAAACATAAAATATTTCTTACCCTCACACCCACACTCAGCCCATGCCTCATCCAAGTCAACTACAGCCCTTCTCTCAAGAGGATAATCCCATCTGAAGTTGGCCTGCTTCAGAAAAGAGTATATTGAAGCCTTACCGAGAAGAACATTTCAGGCCCTTTTTAGTTCTCTGTGGTAGGGAATATTATGAAAAATTCATATTTTCTATGTTCATTTAGCATGCTCCTTGAGTCTGCAAAGCCTCAGTCTATGGATGTCTCGTACCAGGTTCTTCATTACAAAATCTTCAGGGCGTTTGCTTTAGAGCATCCATCTGTGAAGACAAAATGAGATGCACAATGAGGAATGCTCCTCTTGTTTCCTTCAGAACTAAAGTTGTGCTTGCAGCCATATCAGATCAACTCGATAATGGTAAAATCAGTATACTCCTACAGGATCATAGGGCTGCTGTCTCATTAGAGAGAAATGACTGGTAGTGGTTTAACTTGAGGGTCATCACACCTCAGGTGAGGGGAGAAACTGAATAGGAGAGTGTCATGATAACTGCAGCCAGTGCAGGAATTGAATCCCCAATATTGGTGTTACTCTGTGTTGCCAACTGAGCTAACCAACCCCTGTAATCCAATCAACTATTGATCTGTTGCTAGTAAACTAGAAAATATCACCCAACCCTTTTGTGGTGCACCTGAAGTAATAGAGTTCTATCCCTTTTTGATAATTCCTCTGGTTTAGTGAAGAGAATAATGTAAATTAATATTTATCATTTTTCTAAATCTTTTAAATAATTACAAATGGCAACACATTGTGAATTGTCTAGGCATTTCTACAAACACGTATAAGCGAAGTTCTACCAAATATCCACGAAACGTGGAACTAGGGAAACAAATTTTGAACTTGTGAATGCAAAAGCAAAATCAAACTGGAAACTTCAGCAAAAGAAATTGTATCAAATTTATACTCTAAAAGAGATAAAATCTTTTTTAAAAAATCCTTTATTACAGGGTAAAAGGTCCAGGATGTATATTGCTTGTAATGGAATGATGCAAGGAAGCAACAAAAAGTAACAACCTTGCAGTGCTGCTCTGATTGTTTAACACATCTCATTAAATATGCAGATTACAAATTCCTTTGTGTCTGCAGAGATTGTTGTTACTTGCAACTAATATTGTAATATTGATAGTATCCTTTCTGAGGCAAGTGACTATATATGTTGATGCTGATATGTTACAATTATGGATGTTGCAATGGCAACTGGCATTGCAAGTAGTATTACTGCTCTTATTAAAAACAACGCTGTAAATGCAGAGCATACTTGACCTGAAAGAAGAGGCCAGAAACACAGGTAGTTTGCCAAGAGGTATCAAAACATTATGAGTTCACCATATAGTCAGGTTGTTCAGTATAGTGCACTGACATGGACCAAATGAGTCATAAAACCAATTTTATCTCAACAGAAATTTTCATTCGGTCCAGGAGCTAAACAGGGGATTGTTGAATTGGCCCCAAGTCAGTAAAATATGATCCCTGGATCTGAGATATTTACTGTTCAGAATGGAAGTGCTCAGCAGACACATGCTTTCTTCCTGACATTTCTTTTCCTTAAGAATAAAACAGACTTTAGCAGGAGTTCTGTAACTGATAGTGTGAATCATGCATGGCTATGAGACATCATTCAGGCTGCCTAATCATTGGAAAGTATTTGGTGAGACTGTAGTCTGACTGGCTCCTGAGCAGAAACTATATTGGACCTAACTGATAGAACTGATTGGCATTAAAATAGTTCTATAATGAATTCTGAAGACAAATCTGTGAAGGAGAAAACAGAGTTTTCATCCCTCATGTTTTGAATCCTCCCAGGATCACAGATATCAAGAAAAAAAGGGTCACCGGACCTGAAATGTTAACTCTTAACTATTTGGGGATAGTTTGGATCCCCAAATCATGCATTTGGATGCTGTATATGACAAAAAATGGTGTTGGATAGCGAGAATGATCCATGTTTTGCAGCGTTTTCTTATCAACCATAGGCAGGTTGCTTTGGAGGTTGAAGAACAGAAATTTTGAAATTGGTCATCTACCTGGCCATGGCAGGTAACTAAATATTAACAATTATTTCTTAGGGGTTAATAATGCTGAGAGAATCTTACCGGTGGTGGATCCGTCTTCCACTGAGGGCAAAGTCTGATAAGTGCCAGGAGATGGTCACCTGCCAGCATATGAAGGAACCAGCTAGGCTTCCGTTATTTATTTTTTCCTCCCTTCTAGAACGATTGCCTGACCGTTTTGGGTCAGTGCAGCCCTGCGCCATTGTAGTTGGACTGGAGGTGGCTTAATAATTGCTACAACTTCAAACTTCGGCAGAGGAGCCATAGAAACCTCAGGAAAATTGCATAGATGAACATTGAAGTCATAGCAAATGAGCATTAGGGTCTGACATGGAAATTTCTTCTTCCGGTCGATATTTAATCTAATTTGCTTTTGATTGTAAAAATCTAAATTCATGGCATAGGTTTGTAATACCATAT